ACCATAGACGCTTGTATTGGCGGGGGAAGCTTTCAGTACGATAGAGCTCCATAACGATCGTGGCCAGCACTTCCTAGACAGCAAAGCCTGCGCGTTACGTCACATGACGTCCCGTCCGGGAGGCCGGCACGGGCGCTGATTGGATGCGAGTGGCGCGTCAGTGTTCGCGTGGGGCTCGTTTTCTATCATAGTCCCACGCAAACTCTGACGCGGCACTCGCATCCAATCAGTGCCCGTGCCGGCCTCCCGGACGTGACGTCATGTGACGTAACGCGCAGGCTTTAAAGCTGTCTAGGAGGTGCTGTCTTGGCGTGGCTGGTTCAGAACGACCCTTTCGAAGCTTCGAAGATTTTAAAGTACGAAATGGCGATTGCCATAGCAACAGAAGCTAATCGCCTCGCGAAGTTTTAGTCGTCTGAATGTCAGTACGTTTGTGTCCTGCTAGCAGGCAGGGAGGCGAAGATGCGTCTTTTCCAGAATCCAACGACTTCATGTAGAACAACGCACAAAATAAACACGCACCCAACGTTGTTAAACTAACCGATGGAAAAAGCTGCCACGCAAGCAAAACGGTACGTATTTGCTTCGAGCGTTTTAAGACTTGGTCTCACCTTAATATGTATTAATCGCAAAGGCTACAACAAGCCCGCACTTCTTACGTTTGATCGCGCCTGACTGCACGAACGCGTGTGCAGCGGGAAGTGAACACCAATCAAAGCTATACTAACTCAGGCTTGTAGCCTTGACACTTAGACCATATCAAAAAGGTATAGTTTTTTTTTTCCTTTTTTTTTTTCTTACCTGTCTGACGGTGAATGTACTTCCCTCGGTCGCAGTGTGGTTTATTTGCTGCCTTCTCAGTGTCTATTTATTTACCGAGTACTGCAAGCCACTATTGCGACCACTCGCGAAAGCAAATACCGCGACTCAAGCAAAGCGGTTTCCAACACGCTGTCAACAAACGATACCGCGACACCAGGTGCCAGCACTGCGCGTTGGCAGAAACCAGATTAACGTGAGGTGAAGTGTCTAAGGATACGCCTAGCAAGCGGATCATATACAGCTACTCTACGTAGATACGCCGTGCCGACATCAGCGCCACCAATGACATAGCTTCTGCGGCACCTTTTGGAGTGAACGGAATAGAGATGGCTTTCGTGGACGTTGTGCGGTTATCAATCAAGGTGATCTTTATTTGCGACGCATTTGTATGAAACGTTCAACTGTTGGTTAAACAGTTCAACGTTGACGCGGTTGAACAGTGTCTAGCAAGCTCTAACAATTCGTGCTGCTGCTACTGTTGCTGCCACTAACCAGTTTTAATCTCATCCATTTCTTTACTGTTCCCTCAAGGCCCGAGGACATTACAAAGCAGAAAAAAAATTTAAAAAAAAAATAAAAATTACAGGTTAGGCAGATTCAACGAAAATAATATTTTTAATGGTGGTTCTAAGGACTCCAAGTCCGTGGTGGTGGCAATCGTCCCGGAAGGTGGTTCCAGTCCTGATATATACAAGGAATGAAACCAAGAGACGTTGTCGTGATCGAACTTGAGATGCCAACCTTGGGCTGATGATCGAAACGAAAGGAAACATAAACAGGAGCGGTCATCAATTGGTCGCGTAGGGTGGAATTACGAAAATATATTTTGTGAAATAAAGAAATCCGGATCAAAAAGGCCACCAGAAATTTTTGATGGTCCATCAAAATTTCTGGATGGCCCATCAAAATTTCTGGATGGCCCATCAGACCTCCTTGATGGCCCATCACACCGCTTTGACGGTCCGACAGGCTTACTTGACGGTGTCTGATGGATCATCAAAACATCATTTGATTGTGATTGACGGACCACTAAAGGCTGCCGTTGGTAGCACAAAGACCGCCAAACGCTTCTGGTGGTGGCTGATGGATTATCAAAACGTTTTGATGTTGCCCGGGTGAGACCGTCAGGATATCTTGATAGACCATCAGAACGTCAAAAAGGCTGGTGAAGCTTCTAATGACATCTTTCGGTGGTGGAAAGAACCTGACCATCGTCTTCGGGACGTTCCAGCAGTGGCCGAGAGGGGGCGCCAAGATTCTCACATCATAGCGCATGCGTGAATTACGTCCGCTGTGGAAAGCTGAGGGCGGTACAGCTCGATAACGGAGTGTTCGATCCGTTATAAATTATAATCCGCTTCAAAAATTGTCCCATGATATTCGAAAGGTCACGGAGACACCTTCTTACAGACCCAATTATGCTTTTTATTGCTTGCTTGTTTTTTTAACAATAGTTTTGTTTTAAATTGTGTTCTGGTGTGTTGCTGAAAGAGTTTGTTGGTCCCTTTGTATGTCCCGTAGATCGTGTTTACGATCTAAGCGCCAGATAATGTGCCAAAACAAACGTGCTCTGCTTGATCGGATATTTATTTACTAGACGGACGTGTAATGTGAACTAAATGGGCGCGAGAAGAAACGTTTACAAAGCTTCGAATGCTGTAAGACTAGGCTTACTGCATTCTCGGCCAACGAGGCACTCTGTCGCACGACGCCATCATGCCCAGCATTAACGATAGGGACAGGGTGTACATAGCAACGCAACGGAGGACGCTGAACGTGCACGTTGTGGAGTCTCGATCGCAGCGAGTGGATTAAGCGCATTTTCTTTTTCGTTTTGTTTTGCGGTTTAATAGTTAAACGTACGTACAATGATTTCTAAATAGGAATAATAGCATGCCATAGTCGAAACACAAAATTTGCTTTTAGGTTTGCACGGGTATTTTGGAAATAAAGTTAATATTTGTCTGTAATGCAATCTATGTCTCCTGCCGGTACATATGTGTGGTTAGAAATTTATACCGACCATTAGACCAACAGACCATCAAACCATTAGGCCGTCAGATATCCCAAAATGCGACATACCATCAAACCATCACACCACCACACCACCAAACCATCAGGCCATCAAGCCATCAGACCATCAATGTCCCAAAACACGACAGACCATCAGCCTGATGAACCCATCAGAAATTGTCTGATGGTACTTTTCGATAGAGAGGTGATCAAATTTTCGGTGAAAGTAGGGACAGGGTAGGACAGCGGTGACGCTTGTAGTGCAGTGGTAGTATGTGACAATAAGCGAGCAGGTTTTTTTTGGATGCCTTCCAATGCAAGAAGGAGAGTGGTTTGTCCGGGATCCCAGACAGAAGATAAATATTCTAACTTTGCACGAATCAGGGTTTTATAGAGAATTTACTTGAGTTAAACAGGTGCCAAGGAGAAGTTACGTTTGAAGTAACTTAACATGCAATTAGCATTATCGGTTATTTACTGAATATGGGTTTTTCATTAAAGTAGAGAAGTTATATGCCCACCTAGATATTTGTATGAAGCTACCAGCTCTAGATGGCCCTGATTGAGGTAGTAGTGATGACCTTTGAGCGACTGGTGAGACACACGCATGTACTTGCATTTGTTAGGTTTGAGCTTCATAGACCATCATTAAGACGCACCACCGAAAGACAGCGTTGATATCGGACTGAAGTATATCTCAGTCGTGATGGTGTAGCGTCTGACGGTGAATAACACAATCGTCAGCGAACATACATATAGATGAGGAGATTTGTTGGAAGGTCGTTAACATAGGTTAAAAAAGCAACGGCCATAAAACAAAATCCTTGGGTAACCCCGGAAGCAACAGGGACAGAAGAGTTACTATTATTGACAATAAGCAATAACAAATGGTCACCAATGGGATAGAAAATATTAAATCCATGCAAGAACGCTAGCGTCCGTGTTAAGCTGTGAAAGTTTCAGAAGCATATGTTTGTGAGAGACGTATCAAATGCTTTCGAGGAATCCAGAAAAATGCAGTCCATTTGGGATCCTCGGTGGAATGCGGTGAAGATCATGGGTGAATAATACGAGTTGCGTTTCGCGTGAAAATGATTTTTTTTTCGAAAACCATGTTAACCTTGGCCAAAAAAGATGTTAGATTCTAAAATTGACAAGGTGAGAGTCAATAACGTGTTCGATCAGCTTACAAGGAACGTTAGTTATTGAAATAGGCGATAACTATAAGGGAAATGTTTGTCACCAGCCTTCAAAATGGGCGCCACCTTCTCTACCGTCCAGTCTGAAGGCAGATTAGCATTTTGGATGGATTGTTTGAACAATTTCGTTGAGATGAGAGAGGGCTAGACTTGGGGGGGGGGGGGGGGGGTATTTTAAGTAACTTTGAATTAACACTATCCAATCCTGCTAAAGATCAAAGTTTTCGCTCTCCTATATGAGCGACCACCGAATTTTTCAGCCAGAAATATTACCAGTGATTACAAGCTATAAAAATACTGAACATCTATTTAAGGCACTATAATTAGCTATCTTTTAACTAGTGCGTATATAATTGTTTAATACATTCTGACGTGTGACGTCTTCAGTAAACACTAAAAATCATTACTCTGTCAAATATTTCTCATTCTGAATCATATTCGTTTTTATATATATATATATATATATATATATATATATATATATATATATATATATATATCGCTGAACGGTCATTTTGACTTCTCCTTTCAGTTGCTACTTGTGCCTTTGCCATGTCTGAAGGACAGTAGGGCCTCGTCAACCGCCCCCGTCGTTCATCCAGCTGTAGAAAGCTTGACAAAACTGGCCAAATTATTTCGTAAATAAGCTCACGTAGGCGGATAAATGGGTAAGCTAACCTGACCACGCCTAAAGGTCGCACTATACAAAAGACTGCACGTATGATGACAGCTGCGCCTCCATTGCTTCATAGTACTTTGAAGGTGTCTGCGGACAGTCTTTGTATGAGCACCGTCATCCAAGGGCCCCAGACAGTGTCTGCACTTTTGTACGGTCAGTTTAAAGCTTCTCTAAATGGCAGCCACGTTTGCTGAAGAACCTGGCGGTCGCATTTCTCCGCAAAGAGTACCGAAGAATCGAGCTACCGAACCACTGAGCAAGTTGAACGCCCGTGGCCTGTCTTGCAGGCTCTGGTGAAGGCGAGGCGAGCGGAGGACCCCAACAACTTTGTACTCGTCGAAGAGGTCGAGTACCCGTCCACTACGACCGAGAGCACCCCCTTGGGTTCGTCGGTGCGGCGAAGAGGGCCGTACCGCGACCGCCGAGTTCTCTACGACCACGAGAACGTCTACGAAGTCCAGGCCCAGTGGACGGCCAAGGGCTTGTTCGAGCTCAGGGACAGGAACGAAGTGAGTGCAAACCGCCACCGACCGCTGCTAAGCTACACATGTCGCATTGATTCACGTAGTGCCGAGTTCTCTGTAGGCTGTCCCAATGGACCTTTTCCACATACCGACGGCACCAGGCGGTGGCTGCATGAACTAAAAATCGAGGAAGTGGCCTACCTGCGCTACCAATCGATAATGGGAGCTACGCTACCAGTTTCTTCGCTCTCTGAGCTGAGCATCGGGTATTTCTTTCCGTCCACTTTCTTTTTTTGTGTAACTCAATTATATATATGCTGCAATCACGTGTTCTACTCGCTGATCAACAGCCTCCTTCCGAATTTCCTCGATTTTTCGAGTCCATTTCCGCCGCTTGGCATCGGGCGCTTGCGCGTGCTCAGACGCGTCTCGGAAAAGGTCCATTGAGCCTTCCGCTGTAAAACGAGCCGAAAAAAATCGGCGCCTGCACATAGAAAGGTCAAACTTTCACAAAATGTGGACTGAGCGGGTCAGCTTTACCCTGTGAAATTTTAAGGGCAACTTCTCTTCCTGTAAAAGCGGGTCAGCTTTACCCTGTGAAATTTCAAGGGGCACTTCTCTTCCTGTAAAAATGTAAAGCAAAAAAAAAAAAGCCGAAGTTAAGGTTCGCAGCATCGCAGACGACTGAGTTAGCGACGCTAAAGAGCCTAGATTGTAGAGAGGGTCAATCTTAAACCGCTGGGAGCGTTTGCAGTTTGAAGGACGCCTCTCGCGCCGATTGGTCACAAGGGCGCATGCGCTGAGTTGTCGCGAGGCGAAAAGAAGAGCAGGCGGAAATGTACAGGCCCCGCAAAACTTAAAGGGTTTTTTTTTTTTTTTTTTCTTTTTCTGGGGCGGGGGGAGGGGGGGGGGATTTTGAAGAGACGCTCGCAGACGATCACAACGCGTTCGTCCCCTCCTCCCAACTTGTACTGCAAACGCTACCCCTAAGCCACGTGCCACCGATCGACCAGTTGGATACTTACGTTATTTGCTTGTAACGCTAACTCCCCGATAGCCGCAGCCAGCTGCCAACAGTGTGCGCCGTCTGCTCAGTGCGCCTGTCGAGAGATGGCGCCTCAAGTAAATGGCGTCCAGAGCCGTATATGTAGAGAGTTTGGCCATTCGTTGGGAAGTATAGGAGACAAATGAAGCGGCGCCATTGGCCGAAAGCGGGCTGGGCGTGTTCCAGGGCGTCTTCAGAGATTCGAATGTGGCCAACCAGAAGCCGGATATAATACCCTGGCAGTGGTCGCGAGAAACAAACATGATAACTGCATTGGAGTAACTCTCGATGGCTGAAAATATGGTACACGTGATGTTTCAATCCCACTCATCTAAAGTGATGGTGGAAAAGTGCGACTAGCGGAAAGATCGACATAATCCTTACGCCAAACGCCGAGCTCCGGGAATCTGCCGTCAGAGCGGTCACACTCTGTCCGCGCAAAACAGAGTTGAGCGGCGCATTCGTTTCTTACATCTTTCTGCATGATCATGATGAAACAACACGTGCACCCTATTTTCAACCACAAAGAGTTACTACACTTCACTCTTACGCACTTATTAAAACCATTTACGAACAGAGACCTTCGATGCCTTCGATGATCGATCGGCTCAGAACTGTTTCTCGCTACCACCGCTAGGGGATTCTTTTCGGCTTCTGGTTGGTCAAGAGAGCATGCCAAGCCCTCTTTCCGAGTCTGCCGTACGCCCCGACTCTGCCCGCGCCTTCCATTGACCAAACTCTCTACATATACGGCTCTGATGACGTCCACTGATCTCTATTACAATTGCTGGATCGCGTTTGCCCGCTCCGCGAATGCGGCCACTGGCGGCCATCTTTTTGGTAGAGTTATATTACCTCTATCCAATATACAGCTGCAGCTACTATCATCCATCCATGGCAGACAGCGTTGTTGCAGTTGTGGTGGCAGGCTGCCATCAAAATAGCGTGGGTGATATTTCGCGCTTGATTAAAATTGTTTGACGAAACATATTTTTGAAACCCGGCGTGAACGGTAGCCCAATCTTTGAGGACCCGGCCGGGGAAAGTTTCACGAAATCGCAGCACCGGGGAAATGCATAGAAAGTCGCATCGAAAAAAGCATTGAAAGCACGCCGGTACGGAGTCTGCTTTCGATGCGAGCTGCGCTGCTTTCCCCCCGGTGCTGCGCTTTCGTAGAACTTTCGCCGGGTCCTCAAAGTTGAGGCTACCTTTCACGCCGGGTTTCAAGATTCTGCTTCGTCGAACAACTTCAATCAAGCACGAAATATCACCCACGGTACAGTGTACTAGATCCACGGCTATTTTATGGCGCCCTGCCGCCATTGCGCTGTCCGCCATATTACTATGATGGCTAGAGATGATATAACTCTACCAAAAAGATCGACCGTGGCCGCATTCCCGTCCATAGGTGGAGCTGGTCAAACGCAATCCAGCAAATAGACATAGAGATCAATGATGGCGCCGCTAACTCGCTCGTCTGCGAATGCGCCAACCCTGACTTTGGCAAGTGTTTTGCTCTCATATTTTGAGGGAAGAGTTGCGTCTTGAAATTTCCCGTGGTAGAACCTGACCTGCTCAATGCACGTTCGGTGAAAGTTTTCGTTTTCTTTCTATGTGCAGGCGCCGATTTTACCGGCTCGTTTCACAGCGGAAGGTCCGCTTGGGACATACATCACGTGCAAAGCCCTGCACGGAGTGCAGATTGGGCTGCGCCAGCGATCGGCTGCAGCTCGTGTCCTCACTGAATGAACATGAGTTCTAGCCAAACGCTGAGGCAGCACTCGTGTCCTGTCTCTGAACCGCACTGGGTAACAGTCCAACACTACGAGATATGTTGGTTGAAGCCACTAAAAGCATAGCGCTTGTCGCTTAGACAAATATCGCCATTCTGTATGCGGAATGGTGACATACTCTGCTGAAGCGTCATTCGCCGTTGACACTCACGTAAAAAAATTCTTTGTCGATATATATTTTTTTTTCTATTTAGTGATGGAAGTGCTTAGTTATAGTTAAAGGTTGACCTACACTGCCGCTTTCATCCTGGCTAAAAATGCCTACCCAGTTTCTCTCTACGCGTTCATTATATCGCTCTCCCCTACTCTTCTCCCGAAGGCAGAGGATCCAGAATTTTAAAGAAGGTAGTTATGCTCGCCGAGGTTGTTATTTGAACGTGACCTAGAAGGGCCCGACTACTCACAACACAATTTGTAGCTCGACATTCGTTTTCTTTCCGCCCGAAAGCAACCGATCGAAAATTAGCTGGTTTCAGTCGCGTTCACTCTCTTTTCCATGGTCACGTGGCGTTCAAACTATCGGTACCAAATATATTTAAAGTCGTGGGTCATCTAAGGCACACATTCAATATTAAAAATAGAAACGAATATGAACCCCGTTTTTGTGGCCTCCAAGAAGCTGCAAATGCGTTGATCGAAAACAAATTTTCAACTGATCGCAGAAGGTACATGGACACGTCATTCTCGATAGGGCGACGTACCACGGGCGTAACGCGGGGAGATTTGACGTCACGGACGGATGTGACGCCATGGGCACTGTGTGGCCCAGATCAATTTTGTTGACCTAATATTTGCCATTTCACCAAAAAACTAAACATATCTCGCTAAAGAAAGCTGGCGTATGTACTTTCTTCCATAAAAAAAAAAAAAAAAAATGCCGCTTGGTTTTTGGGAGGCTTAGGAAAGCCTGCCCCGAAGTCCACCCCTGTCCATCATTTGCTTTCGCGCATGTCAAATAAATTTCCTCCTTCGTTCGTCTGGGAGAGGGGAGGCTTTAGTCTCGCAGAAATTCCAACCTTTAAACGCCTTCCATACGCCGCCCGTACACGAGGAAGGAGTGCATGTGTGAGTGTTTCTCCGGGGTTCAGTCTTATTTCAATCCTTTTCCCAGGTAACGCTTGAACAACGAAGAGGAAACGCCCCCAAAAGCTCCAGCTTCTACCGGCTGAGTCGACTCCGTAGCTCAATGAAATCCAAAGGTACGCGGCTCACAACTTTTTCTTTTCCTTTTTTTTTTTTTTGCATTGGTGCTTATCCGACCACCTGTCTTCGCAAGACAAGGCAATAGTTACGCTTAACATTATTCGATCGAACTGTTTTCGTTTGTTGTGGGTCTTAAAGATGTCTTATTCACACTGGGGTTTTTTTTTTCGGCTTACATGGCTTTGGTTTTGAGCTGACAACCCAACATTCTTTGCAATGCCATGTGAAAAGCAGCTGCGACGACGAGACGCAGCAAATAGAGTGGCAATAGCATTGCAACTCTGTTTGCGGTGTCATAGTCAACACAGGCGCTTCTGTTGCAGAACGGGACAAGTCGTGCCCCTCACCCAAACAGTCTCCGGATTCTTCGTTGCGACACAGTGAGCCCGTCGCCTGCCAAGAACCCGGACCGAGCCAGGAAATCTGCGAAGAGCCAGCGAGCTCGGGACGACGCCAAGTGCACAGCGAGGGCGAGACACTCTCCGACGACGAGACGCAGGAGCCGCCCTCGGCCGTCTCTCGGCTACGCAAAATCTCCTTTCGCAAACTCAAGGTCTGGCGATGAGCTGCCACCACAGGACCGCGGGGAATCCCCTTCGGGGCCGTGGCACCATTGCCCCACTGAGTTCCTATAAAGCGGCGGAAGCCCCATCGACAGAACCAGCACCCGCTGCCGCTTCGGTGTTGGTTCCAATGCGGACGTTGACATCGCCGTCTCGCCTGGGCTGGAGGCCACCCGCGTCATCCCGCGACAGGTGGCACGCGAACGACCAAGAACTCTTCTTCGGCGGCGATGGGGTTTTTTTCTGTGTGCATTTACCAAGCGAGTCGGTCTGAATGCCTGTGCTCGCGAGCCAGGCGTCCGCCGTCCCCGGAGTTTCGCCGTCGGGCCCGGTAGGAGTTGCGTTCCGCTGTGGGGCTGTTCAACTGCCGTCTCAAGTGTACAGAAGACGACATCCTCGAAAAGACAATCTAGTCTCAAACAAAACGCGCTTGAGTTCACAGGGCTGGCCTCTGGGCTTACAGCTGACGAACTTCGGTGCTTATGAGTCGACGGTTCGACATGTACGGTATCCTTGAACCGAGGTCTCCTCGTGCTGGGCTGTTGCCGTTACCGACTTCGGGTAGAGCGCGCTAGTCATTTTACGTGTTGTTGCCGCCAAGGAATCTGCCCAGCTTTCGAAACAACCGCGGTGAACCGTCGCGCGTTCCTTTTTACGACGGAAATTGAATTGCCGTTGGTCCCTGGGCGAGTGTGCGCGCTCGTGTCGGGAAGAAGAGCCGAACGGAAAAGCGGCTGTGATTGTTACGCGGTGGTGTTATTTCGATGTACCTCTTTCGGTGATAACATACATAACTTCGTTGCTATAGAAATGCGTATACATTTTCAGGCATATATATATATATATATGTATATATATTATTATATAAATATATACATATATATATATTTACACAACACATTCTACGGATGGTATTGTTGAGAAGACTTGGCACGTATGCGCAGCACCCTCGACAGCCGCGGTGCTTCCCGCTTGCGCACCCGAGCACAGCCGCCAAAAGAGCAATTGTTTTCCTACGAGAGAGCCGCACCTGTGAAAGATGCATGGCTTCTGCACAGATCTCAGACAAGGTCCATCATTGAACGCCGAAGGCAATTACGGGGCGAGGGGGGGTTCTACGACAAACAGAATTTTTTAATTGGCTCCTTTCGGGGATGGCGTGCGCGTCTGTACATATGTTCATGTTAAACTATCTAAGGTTTCCCCATCCACAGACGTCATCAGGTGTGCTGTTGCACCTGCTGTTACTCGTGAGTGTGTATCATACACTTGCAACTGTAGATCTCGCACTAGTAACGTACGGCACGCGGATCCTTTTCATTCTCTCGCGGCAGCTATCTCGGGTTTTGGTTCACCCATAGGAATTTGCATCGGTGGATAACGTCTCTAATTGCGTAGCTGCTATTCAAAGCATCAGCCTTTTTTTTTTTCTTTTTTTTTTTATCATCTGCTAAGTGTCAAGCCGGAGAATTAAAGGATATATATATAAAAAGGCTGTTTCTTGGAAAGACTTCAAAAATCCCTAAAAATATGCTGTTTGAGCTAAAAAGAAACTCTTTGCGGGAACAAACTACCAGCTTTGGCGGACGTCAAGGATTGCAAAAACGTACTAATTAGCAAGATAATTAGCTAAAATGTACAATTGTTTTTTATTAGTGGACATAAACATACGGTTCCGCTGAGAACCTCCCCTAAGCATAATCAAAAACCACTAATTCAATTTTTTTTTGTAGAAATATATAAGGGGCAGCATTTTACGGCGTTAAGGGAGGAAGTGGCCGAGTGGGCTAACGCTTCTCAGCTCGGAGCGTGGAGCGAAAGCTTGCGCTGGGAACCTCCTGGGTTCGATCGCCGCCGCCCCCGCCCGTTTCGATCTGGATGAGTTTCGTACCGGCACGCGTTCGTGTGATCACTACTGCGTGAAGCACGTTAAAAATCCCAGGTTAGCGGTTGTACCGCACTGGCTAAATTTCTCATCTACAGCTAAGAGACCGATTACCCGTTGAGGCGCATCTCCATCAAAGCTGTAAAGAGCAAGCCAATTTTTTTTTTTTTTTTTTTTTTTTTTTACGGCGTTCTGTAAAAACGCTCAGTTTGGACGGGTTTCTAGGTTTCGGTTTCTTATCGGAGCGCAGCTCTGCGCCCGCGGTCCTAGTCCCCAGTGTCCGAGACGAGCAACACACGTGCGCCGTATTTCCCTCCATCCTGCAAAGTGGGCGAGGCTGTGGCTTAGCGCCGTGACCACCGGGGACCAGGACCGCGGCCGCAGAAATGCGCTCCGATAAGAAACCGAAACCTATAGAAGCACGTCCAAACTGAGCGGGTTTTCAGAACACTATAAAATGCTGCGCCTTACTTATATACTTCTAAAAAGAATTGATTGAGTGGTTTTCGATGATGCTGAACAAGTTTCTGAGTAAAACCATGTTTATTTTCGCTAATTAAAAACCAATTATTAGTAAATTTTAGTTAATTATCTTGCTAATTCCTATGTTTTTGCAATCCTTGACGTCCGCCAATGCTAGTACTTTGTTCGCTCAAAGAGTTTCTTTTTATCTCGAACAGCATATTTTGGGGGATTTTTGAAATCTTTCGCGGAAACACTTAATATATAAATATTTTTTTTAACACGAATTATGACATGTGTCGTGGCGTGAACCGCACCTGTTCACAATCGCTTACATGCGATCTCTCAAATGCAGAACGTCTCATACACATCAGGTCTCTCGATGTAGTGTTCCAAAAGGCGCCGAGTGACAAATTCGCTGAGCGGAGAGCGTGAGCGGTCGCAGGAAGTCTTTCATGTCGTCGTTATCGCCTTGCGCTATCATCAGATTTGAAGTCCGCAATGAAGCCAGTTTTCCCCGGATTTAACAAGAAAGACGAAAGGGGACCCACTTCACCAAAAACGGCTCATAACTTCCTCCTGGCTTTCCACGAACTTGAGTTTCCTTATGCGTTGTTTTCTGATTCCGTACCGCTCTTTTTCAGATACATTTTCCTGCGCGAGTGAAGGGAACACAATCGTATTCTAGTGGTTTTGAATGCGTGATACTGGTTGAGCGTATTGTAGAGTTTTAACCGACCATTCCCCGCCATGAACCACGGACAGCGAGCTACGAATTAAATTTATTAAACTACTTCTTGAGTCGTACCGATTCAAAAAGCGGATAGATCAGGCATTCAAAACTTGCAATGAGGATGCGGCCCGTCTTATTACTGACGATATCGGCATCTACGAAAGCTGAAGCAAAAATGACTAATTTAGCTATAACGATTTTGAGGCTAAGCAGTCACAACAACAGTCACGAAACGTTATTAGTGTTAAGGGAGCCTTCCATAAAAATGAGCGCAGTTGCCTACAACAGCTGTGCTCACTGCACGTGCGCCGCAATCATCGGTACGTGCGCCTTGCTGTACAGACAGACACTGCAGCGCCTACTGGCGTGACAGAAATGATCTGCAAAAGTTACCTGGTCTGCAATCCACGATCCCACGTGCTCGCTTACCTAGTGCTCGCCCAACCATTTGTAGGGCGGTTAGGCACGAAATCAGTCACACCACGGCTTCGTCTTTCCACGCGGCAACCCAGGAGAACTGGTACGGCTCAGAAGTGTTTTCGTCTCAAGGTTAAGCCGTCGATCTTTTTACTTTTCATGAGTATTGAGACGAGATAGCTCTTCAATATTATTTATTTATTGTAGAACTACGCAAAATAAAAAAGGACGTTTCTTCGCCCCCCTCCCAAGGAGGAAAAAACTAAAGGGCGCGGGTGAATGACGGAAACCACGCGTGAATGTAATTACGACCTCAGCTTAATTGGTCCACTCATTGAAGGCTAGGTGTGTTTTTAAAAGGTGATTGCGCACAAGGTCATTTCCACTTAGTTATCCAGGCAAACGATTTATTGCATTTTCTCTCCACTGGCGTATATGCGTGTGTATGTGTGTAATGTGTGTTTGTATGTGAGGGAGAGAGAAATACAGAGAGAGATAAAAGAAAGAAAAAACGATGTTCTGAGAAAATCTATTGTATGCGCATATACAAGCACACTAGTCTTGAGGATCAGCATATCGCGTGAAGGTCGATAAGGTGACAAGGTTACAGTACCTGACTTCATAAGTTTATCATATGACCCAAAAGCCTAAGAGAAAGTTGGACGGTGGACTGAGTGATTCAGAGGATTTCTTTTATTTTATTTTACTTCTCCTTAATTTTGTTGTGCTTTCAATTTTACATGAAGCGAGTGAGCACTGTGATGTACAAATACTCTCCAGTAGAAATTTCGTTATCATCTTTGCCGCTATTTTTGAACTAATAGATTGTATTTCGTCTCGTAAATATGGCCTAGAAAATCAGCTTATCCATCCATTACCTCGTGTCTGCCTCGAAATGCATTTATTTCACCGTGTTTAGGAGCAGCACCATTCTTAAAGGGACCATGAAAATGGAGCTGGCACTGAGCAGCCGGATGATCCTCTGTCTCTCGAGAAATGACGTTATTGTAAGATCATAGCGACATATAGCGTATACCTAACCGTCGGTATACGCGGTAAGTAAACCAGTTGCGGAGGCAAAGGGATTTGGAGGCTAGATGCTGTCTTTGCCAAATATTAGCATGGATAGACAAAAATTGAGGCCCATTTCCTGCTTTACAAAATGACGGCTCTATTCTGCGTTTTGACCAATTGTCAGTGACAGGATAAGAATGCCCATTCGAAGCTCTGCTTCCTGCGCGAGCTTCCTACCTTCGATAACACTTAAGCGTACTGTGAGCACGCGCAGCCAAAGCACGACGGAAGGTAACAAGCGCCGTGTGTGAGGTGATACTTTCATGGCATTCTTAGTCTTTCACGGGCCATAGCTAGTCCATGTCCGAAACGTCTTTTATTGTCCCTTTAAAGATGTTGCCTGCTGAGTGCACCTCCTACAGTGCTGCGAGGGATGTTTTGTTCTGTCATGAATACGACTTTCACTGACAAGATGAGAACGGCAGGGAGGTCTTTCGGTTGTCCCGCTTCCAGCGCGAGCTTCCCACAGCTTTGATAACACTTGGACGTCTTACGAGCCTGTGCCGACAGAACCCAGACATCTGAGAGAGACGCCATTTTTATCCTGTCAGTGACTATACGCTGTTCTTATGGGCTTATTCCGCTCATGTCATGTGTCCTATTGTTTTTTCTTATTAATTTATGAATTAAAGACAAACTCGTCTCATTATCTTTTCTACGTTATATCGTTGGTAGTTTCATCGCCAATTGTGTCCTCAATCACCTCTGTTCCAGTAATGTATTACAATCGTTTCCCCTTTAAGGGAAGAAAACATTTTCATACACAGCCATACAACCTTGTTGTTATATATATATATATTTCTTTTTTTTTTTTAATGAAAACTTGCAAAAATCCTTTTTGCGGTTCACAAACCTATCCTTGTCCATATCAGCACCCATAATTATTCAAATTTTGGACAGCACCCAGTCCGAGGAGGCAGACGCCTGTGTTTGACTATTTAATATCCTGCTTTAGGCACCTCGCTGATTTCTATTTTATTGGAGAGACAAAAATGGAGAGAGAGAGAGAAAAAGAGAGACATACACACACGGGTTATGCTTTCAGACCTCTGTCGCGCGTTGCTATACCGTATGCCACTGGATTTCGCCGCGCACATTATGTTACCTCGTGAGCAAGCACACGGTACGCTTGTAACGATGCAGCTGATTTTCAAATGAATAGCCTTCGGAAATAACCGACTCGAGTGCTTTCTAAAGTCCCCCTACCGTGGGAAAAGTGACGCCATTAATTGTGGTAGAAATGCTCGAGGC